AGCCACCTCGTCGAATTTTATTACTCTAAGGCAGTTGATCTGTTTCTGAACCTTGCACGTGATGGACCACAGCGACTATACTCCTGTGTCTCATGCTGTCCCCATAATATCTTTGACATTCATCCACATTCACGTGGCAACAGCTAATTCTTTCTCATCACCAAGGGTCCCACTGCTGTTCATCCATTTTCCTGTTGGTGGACATTTGGGTGGTGTCCATTTTGGCTTTATGAGTAAAGCTACTGGGAACATTCCATGGAAGCGTTTTTGCAGATGTGTATTTTCATTTCTTTGGGGTAAGTACCCAGCAGTAGGATTACTGGGTCGTGGAGTCATGTGTGTTTGACTTTGAGAAACTGCCGAACTCTGGTTTCTGTTCTTTGCTTCCATCAGCAGCGACAAGGTCGCCAAAGCTCCAACCCTGCCAACGCTCAGTTGTTCGGGCTTTTTCCATTCCAGTCACCCTCCTGCGTGTGCAGTGCTACCTCATTTTTATTATAAAATTTGCCTTTCTCTTAAGCACTTTTCGTGTGCTTGTTGGTCACTCAAAGATCTTTTTAAATTGAGCTTTTTGTTATTGATCTGTAAGCATTCTTTATATATTCTGGATAAAAGGCCTTTGTCAGAATTACATATTTTGAATCTTTCTCCAGTCTGGTTTTTGTTTCACAAACCAGTATCTTTTTTAACGGTGTCTTGTGGTACAGAGAATTTTTACTTTTGTAACACTGATTTGGCAGCAGTAATGGTGTAGACATCATTGACTTATTCACAGTCTTGGGGAAAGCATTAACATTTCACAGTTACGTGTGATGCTAGCTGTTGGTTTTGTGGATGCCGTATGTTAGTTCAAGGAAGTACCCAGGGCCTCCTTGTCTGCGGAGAGCTCTTACCTTAGAGGGGTAGAGTATTACAGACGGCCGTGTCTGCTGTGGTGATCACACGGCATCTGCCCCTTTATTTATTTATTATTTATCTGTTTCCCCCTGTAGTCTGCTAATGCAGTTACATACACTGATTAAAGTCTTTCATGTTTCTATCTTCCTCACCTTGCAGCCCTGCAGCAGACTTCCTAAGGTTGGGATGTATTGTCCTCTTATATACTGCTAGATGAGATTTGCTGATATTTTGCTTAGGCTTTTGCATGTGTGTTCATGAGGAGTGCAGGTCTGCAGCTCTCTTGGGACCTCCTTGCTGGGCTCCTGTGTCGACACATGCTCCCCTTGTGAAGGGCTTCTGCCTCCCTGGGCATGGTGGTGTAAGGCTGAGGCTGTTCTTTCTTTGAATGTTTGCTCGAGCTCATGGTGGAAGCCATCTGGGCCAGACCTCTCCAGCAAGGCTTTTAATTAAGGGTTCAATTTCTTTAACAGATGCAAGACTTATAATATTTATATTTTGTTTCTTCTGTCAGTTTTGGTAGGTTTTTGTTTTTAAAGGAAATTGTCCATTTCATCACAATTGTGAAATTCATTGTAGCTCCTAAGTTCTCTCCTTGTGCTTTCAGTGCCTCCGGGATCTGTGGTGATGTCTCCTTTAGCTGTGACATGGGTGGTTTATGTTTCCCTTCTGTTCTCTTGGTCACTCTTGTGTCAAAGGCTTTTCTCTAATGCACCTGTGCTTTCTGTCTTCACCCTCTGTTCTTTATTCCTTCCTTTATCTTCACGACGAGCTGTCACTGTTGTTGCTTTAAGCAGTCAGGAGTCCGTCACTTCTACAGTGATTCCCAGGACTTTGCTTCTGTGACACTGCCCATGTCCTCCTTCAGGTCTGTGCCCCTCTCGCTCACCAGTCTCCCAGCTTGTTTCCCTCGAGTGTTCGTATTGTGTCTTTCTTGCAGCTCTGTCAAGATGTAACTCGCATACTGTGAAAGTCACTGTTGTAAATGATTCAGTGATTCTTCATAAATCTAGAGCTGTCTACCATTGTCTCACTCCCTGCTCCCATGCCATCCCTGGCGACCGCCATCTGCCTCTGTCTCTGCACAGTCCCTTTCCTGGATGCTGCATGGATACAGAGTCATGGAGCTTGGAGTGTTTTATGCCTGGCTTCCTTCTTTCTGCAAAACAGCTCTGAGTTTCACCCGTGTTGTAGCATGTGGAACAGTGGTTGCTTTTTTGTTCCTGAAGAGCACCCCGTTGTGTGGCTACACGTGCTCTGTTTGCCCATGAACCGTCTGAGGGGCCACGGGTTGCTTCCAGTTTTTGTCTGTTAAGAATCATGCTGCTGTGAAAATTTGCACCCAAATGCTTGTGTGGACATGTTTTCATTTACCTTACAGAGATGTGCAGGAAAAGAATTGTCAGATTGTAGGGCAAGTTTATGTTTCGTATTTTAAGAAACTGGCAAACTGTTTTCCACATGGGCTGTTGTTTACACTCTCACCAGCAGTATGCAAGGACCCTAGTCTCTCAGGGTCTCTCCACATCAGCGCCAGCCCTTGTTGCTGTTTTAAGTTCTTATTACGGTCATTCTAGTAGATACAAGGTGTAAGTTCTACTGTGGCTCAATTTGCATTTCCTTTTCTTTTTTAAGATTTATTTGAGAGAGAGCATGAGCAGGGTGGGGGGAGGGAGAGAGAATCTGAAGCAGACTCCACGCTGAGCACAGAACTCGAGGTGGGGCTTGATCCCATGACCCTGAGATCACGACCTGAGCCGAAACCAAGAGTCAAGAGGCTTAACCGACTGTGCCACCCGGGTGCCCTTCAGTTTGCATTTCCTTAATAACCAGTGATGTTGAGCATTTTTTCACATGGTCGCATCGGCATCCATATATCTTCCTTGGTGAACTATTTAGAACTTTTGCCCATTTTTGCATTGGGTTATTTGTCTTACCGAGTTGTAAGCATTCTTTATATATTCTGGATATAAGTCTTTCGTCAGATAGATGGTTTGCAAATATTTTCTCCCAGTCTGGCTTGTCTCTTCATTTTCTTAATGGTATCTTCTGAAACACATGTTTCTAGTATTGATGAAATCCATTGTATCAGTTAATTTCATAGACCATGCTTTTGGTGTGATAACTGAGAAATCTTTGCTCAACCAAGATCATGAAGATTTTTTCCTAGAAGTTTTATAGTTTGAGCTCCTGCATTTAAGTCTCTGATTCACCTTGGGTTAATTTTTGTATGTGGCAAAGGTCTAAAATTCATCCTTTTGCAGGTGGGTGTTCAGTTGTCCTAGCACTGTCTGTTTAAAAGATTATTCTTTCCCCAGCTAAAGTAAGGGTTCTCTTTTGTCAAAAACCAATTTGCCATGGGGCGCCTGGGTGGCGCAGTCAGCTGAACGTCCAATTCTTGGTTTTGGCTCAGGTCGTGATCTCAGTGTCGTGAGATTGAGCCCCACATCGGGCTCCACGCTCAGCACAGAGTCTGCTTCTCTCTCGCTCTCCCTCTGCCCCTCCCCCCACACTCGCTCGCTCCACTCTGTCTCTTAAGATAGACAGGTACATAGAATCTTTACAAACATACAAACAGTGGGCCGCGCATGTGTTGGTTTGTTCTGGGCTCCAGTCAGTCCATTGGTCTGGGGGTCTGGGCTCCCACCCACACCACGCTGCAGTGGTCACTCTTGCTTTAGAGCAAGTTCGAGAGTTGAGAGGTGTGAGTCCTCCACACTTATTCTCCCTTTTCACACTTGTTCTGACCCTTCTGGGTCTTTACCCTTCCGTGCGAGTGCTGGGTCAGCTTGTCAGTTTCTGCAACCAGAGCTTATTGGAGTTTCGGGGGCCGCACATGTTGATGCTGCAGCTCAGGTGGGGTAGACGCGCTGCCTCGTTTGTGTTGAGGCCACGAGCCCACAGACGTGGAGTGTCCCTGCCAGGCCCAGAGCTGTGCTGTGCTGGGCCTTCCTCGGTCGCCCGCAGGTCGCTCACCGTGCCCGGTCTCCGGTCTTACCCCAACCCCTTCGGCATATGGACCTCCTCCGTGAGCCCGTGTCTCACTGCTTCTGTCCTTTCTTCGGTGCCACCCCATCCGTGTCTCAGTCTGCCCAGTGAATTCATGACTTCAGATAATACGTCTCCTGTTTTGTAATGGTTCTTTTTTGTATTTCCGCTTCTCCAGTGAAATCCTTGATTTTCCCTCATTTTGCTCATCTTTTCTTCTAAATTCCATAGGCCTGTTTGTTGTAATTACCTGACTTCCTTGTCTGATAATTCCAGCATCTGGATCTTCTGAGGGTCTGGTTCTGTTGACTTTTTCTCCCTGATTATGGGTCACCTTTTCCCGTTTCCCTACATGCTTTGCAATGTGGGGGTGCTAATTGTTGTTGTTAAAAGAATGGTATTATTTCCCCTGAGAGATACGCCTGCCTCCACACAGCCCTTCCACTTAAGGTCAGGGTGTGTGGAACTGGCCCCTCAAACACGGGGCAAGGTCTGTGTGTGTTCAGGGTGCTGAGGTTCAGTCTGTGCGCATCCTGACCAGAGGCTTACCTGGCAGCACGGTGGTGAAGACACCACAGAATGCAGGTGCCGAGCCAGCTTTTCGTAAGGACCGGGGGTAACACCCAAGCTCTGCAACCAGTGAGGCACTTGGAGCATCTTTATATTAACACAGGAAGCATCGGTTACCAAATGAAATAAAAATTCACATGACATTTTCTGACATAATCTCCGTCTCTGCATGTCTGCTAGAGCCAGGCCCCACGCTGACCCACAGGCTCACGGGCGCCACTTGGGAGAGTGTGAGGTGCGCCCTCTCTCCTGACGGCAGACGCGAGGCCGGAGCTGTGCCCCTGCTCTCTCCCTATGGGGCTGTCCCTCCTCACAGATCACCCTGCAGCCAGACGTCAGCGTCCCCGACAGGGGGACTCCTACGGGAAAGGCCAGGGGCTGTGTCACCCAAGGGACACGTCCTGTAGTGGGAGCCACGTGCGGGCCTTATAAAGCTGAAGGAAGGGAGAGGTCTCCATCAGGAGAACCGTGCCGGAGTCAGACGTGTCTGGACGCGTCTGAGCATGTGCCTGTTTCCTCACGCCTCCCTCCTTTTTCCTTTCTAGGTTTGGGAAAAGCTCTTAGGTTGTGAAACTCCACGGGTTAATGTATTTATGGCAGTGCCTACAATCTACGCCAAGCTGATGGATTATTATGACAGACATTTCACCCAGCCTCATGTCCAGGATTTTGTCCGTGCAGTTTGTGAAGAGAAAATTAGGTAAATGGAAACAGTCCGCGCTCCTGCCCAGAAAGCCTTAAAGATCAACTAATATCACATGTTTAGTAAAACAGTCCCAAGTTGTAGGAAGCAGTATTTTCCACCCCCTCTGGTGGATAGAGTGAGCTGTGTTTTCTGCGTGTCCATCTGTATTCTGTCTCTGTGAGTCTGTCCAGATGCGTCTGTCTCTGTCAATCTGTCTCTGTCTGTCTTGTGGTCCAGTTGGAAGGATGAGAGCTCGCCCCCTGGCCGTTCTGACCCTCAAGCCCCCCGTCCCCCCGCAGAGCACGCCCACCCCTGCCCTGCCCCTCCCAGACCTGCTGACAAACACCCTTCCTGACAGACATGCGCTGGATCTTCCGGGCCCTTCCATGGCATGAGGCTTGTTCTGCTTTGTCTCACGACCCTGCAGACACAGCATGCTTCTCCCTGATTTTCGCTCAGGGGTGAGCCCCTGAGAGAGTGCACACCCAAGTCGGGGGCTTGGTGAGTTTTCACAGGACCGGGGACATGTGACAGGCTATCTGAGGTGAGCACAGCCTTTCATGGCACACGGAGCGAGCTGCTTGGCCAGCGTGAACGGGACACTCAGTGTGGTGCGTGTGCGTTGGGCCAAAGTGACAGGTATCACCCCCGTGAGCCCGCCAGCTGCAGCTGTGGACTATCTCCTGCACCTTAGACCTGGAAGCAGTTCATCCACAAACCAAATTCTTACTAGTGTTGCTGTGATTTAGGGTTGTTTGTAGACAGCACATTAGTCGTGTGCAAAGCATGCCTCCAAAGACCCTAGAATTATTTTTTTACTTCAGTAACCTGTTCCTTTTGAAGACCTGTTTTACTCTAAGATGGACCCAACAAATTCTTTTTAAGAGAACAGAGTTAAAATTTAGCCCCCGACTGGCATTTCTTGTGAGCTCGAGGTACTGGTGTTGACTGAAGAATGCCCTGCGTGTCTGGTTTTCGTTGTCCGGCCGAGGGCCGCCTCCGAGAAGCTAAGGCCGCCTCTGTTGTGCTGGTAGGTTGATGGTTTCGGGATCGGCTGCCCTGCCCCTGCCTGTGCTGGAGAAGTGGCAGGACATCACAGGCCACACTCTGCTGGAGCGGTACGGGATGACGGAGATCGGCATGGCCCTGTCCAACCCCCTGACCGCCACTCGCGTGCCAGGTATGAGCAGCGCCTGCCGGCTGTGTCCTCTCTGCCCCAAGCCCTCAGCTGGGCTGGGCCGGGGAGGACGCTGCCCTGCTGGGCCAGAGAACTTCCTTGGGGCACCAGCCAGGTGGCTGTGGCCTGTCCCCTGTGGGCCCTCAACGTTTCTCCCAAGTGGCCAGTCAGGGAGAGGACAGAGAGGTGCTCTTGATACCAGTGTCCTTCCCAGGTGACAAGTGGGATTGATCAGGGTCCGTGTGCTCAGTGGTGTGCCTCCCGGGGTGGGCGCTGCTTCCATGCAGACCACAGGGGCCCCTGCCAGAGCCTCCCGTGCAGGCACCCGGAGCCATGCAGGGTGTTGGGGCAGTGGGTGAGAGGGCCCTCCATGTGTCTGGATGACCTGCAGCTGCAGACAGCTTCCTGCCCTGGGCTGACCATCAGCCTTCTCTAAGACGTTCCATCTGACTTTAGCTCAGACTTGCACATCTGGGCTGCCAGCAGAGCCCAGGCCTGAGGTGTGGATGTGCTCTGCTCTGACCTCGGCGCTCTCCCAGTCACGGGACATTCCCTCCTCTGGGCCCACAACACAGGAGAGAGCCCGTTAGAAGTAATAGCGAAACAACTCTGGCTCTATGATCATATCCCTGCATCCGTTTATCTTGCACATACGGTAGAGTTCACCCTTCCCACGTTCAGTTCTGTGAGGTTTTGAAAACACACGTAGCCGACTACACGCTTGAGACACGGCAGGGTCTGACAGCTCAGACCGGCCCCTTCTGTGCGCTCAGCACCTCCTCCCCCCAGGCCAGGCAAGCACGCACCTGTTTTCCCTTCTTGTACTTGTGCTTTTTCTGGAATGTCGTACAATGAATCCTACAGGACGTGGCCCTTTGGGTCCTTTAGCGGGATGTGTCCGAGACTCATCCATGTGGGCATAGGTTCCTTTCCCTTGCTGAGTAGAATTCCCCGGTGTGGACAGGCCACTGTTTCTTAGCCTGCTCCCCCACCGAAGGACACTGGGTTGTGTCTCGTTTGGGACAGTTATGGCTGTTGTACATATTCGTGTGCAGCTTCTCTGCGAACGTGTGCCTTTATTTCTCATGGGTCATACCCAGAGTGGGGTTGGTGGTCAGAAGGTAGGTGAGTACCTGACTTCCCCAGAAGTGGCCAGACTCTGTCCAGAGCAGCCCCTGATGCAGGGGTGACAGAGGCTTTAGGCAACCACACAAGCTGTCGGGGGCCACATGGCTGGTGTGTGACGGAGTGGATGTTCATACTGTGGCACCGGGACACCCGCTTTGCCATGAGCACAGCAGCGTGACCCAGTTTGGGGGAAGAGAGAGGGGCACAGAGATGCATGGGGAACCTTCTGGTTCATTAGAAGAGCAAACACAAGACCAGGAGCCAGGGTAGGATGGAGGGCACAAGGGAGGCCCAGCTGGGGGCTCACCCAGGTGGTGGGGGGAGAACCCCCAGGTGAGCGGAGAAAGCAGAGGTCAGGTGACGGTCCCCAACTGACCTGGCCTTTCCCAGCCCCCATGAGGAAGGTAGAACGTGAAGGCTCTGAACCCCAAGGACACTTTGAGGAACAGGAGGGTGTGGGTGTAGTCGCTCTTCCTACCGTGGGGGTCAGATACCCGTGACCTTGTCTGTAAGGCAGGCCTCCAGCAGTCGAGACCAATGCTGGTTCTTTGGTTTGGAAAAAGGCAAAGTGGCATTGTTTCTGGAGAAACTGGTAGAGGGCTTTCCTTGGCACCTTCAGTCCCATCTGTGCGCCTTGACGCCTGGGCTGGGCTCACAGTGCACTTGGGACGCGGCCAACCACCCCGGGCCCCACGCCTGCTTCCAGCTCAGGGTCGCTTCAGGCCGGCCCCTCCCTTCTGGCTGCCTGCACGGCCTCTGAGCGTTGCTCTCACGGTCACTGCAGTGACCGCCAGGATCCATTTTTGAAAGTCCTCCAAAGCTGACAGGGCACACAGGGCAAGGCCAACCTTGAAAGAGGGACCTGCTGCATGAACAGGGTGGTGTGTCAGGCCCTGGGTCGGATCTTCTGACTGTTCCATCTCTGCGTCCCTGGCGGTTACCATGAAGGGGGATGAATAATTCATGTCCTGGCGCTGCTGGGCCTAATCACACTCTAATTGGAGGTGGAGATCAGAGGCACTGATGGCTCCTGCAGGGGGCTCCGTGGAGCGCTGACAGGAGCTCCAGGACCTTATCAGCCTGTTCCCGTTCTCCTGGGGCCAGCTGCAGAGCTGCCTCCCTCCCTGGATGCTGGACAGAGCCACAGGCCAACTACAGTTATCTGGGAAGAGCCGACAACGGTCTCAAAGAGATGCAGAAGAAGGACATGCACTTTTGACTGTGGCCGGCACTGCCGCCCAGGGGGACACTGGCAGGGGGCGCCGTCCCTGCGGGTGCAGGAGGGGACTGCTGCTAGTGGACCCTGCTCTGTCTGGCCAGCTCGGGCGGGGTGGCTGTGGTTTGGGGCCACAGCTGCCCCATGCAGACTGCAGCGTCTTCTCTGGGTAGACCTCACCCCACAGTACCTCCAGCCTGTGAAGCTGGAGTTGTTGTCGGTGCCTGGAGATTTTAGTCATGTTGTTGTGTTTGACGCTGTAATTAAGCACGATTCTGCCAGCACTTCCACGAGATCGTAATGGCTGGCAGCAGTCACTGTTGAGATGGAGAACAGGCCAGAGAGGAGCAGGAGGAAGCTGGGAAGAGGGTTTCTTGCTTTTTAAAGAATATTCGAAGGAGAAAGTGGTGGATCGAAAGGAGGGGAGGGCGATGGGGGCCGGGGAGGCTGGTGTTTTCGTCGAGGCGGACGGTTATGGGACCCTCTTCTGGTGGGAAGTACGCACTGGGTTCCTGCCCCCATACCTGGCACAGAGCTCCTGGAACCCTCGGGATTTCCTAGATGATCGGCGCCACCACGGGGTCTTAGCTGTTCACAGAAGCCCCTTCCCGAACACCTGAGTCTGTGCTCATGAGAGGAGCTTGGGAAAGCCCCTGAGGGTGGGGCTGGGACCAGCCTGCGATTGGAGGGTTGGAAGCTTTGGGGAGGGGAGAGGGGCTGTGGGCTGAGTCAGTAGCCGGTGGCTTCATCAGTCATGGGACCTCCATAAAAACCATAAAAACCCTATGGACGCTGGTGCACAGAGGAGGTGCTGGGGGTGGTGCCTTGGGGGCCGGGAGCTCGGGGACCCCCCCTTCCTGGGCATCTCTTCCATCTGCTGTTCGAGTCATGACCTTCATAAGAAGGTGGTGGTAGGAAACAGTGCTTTGCTGGGTTCTGTGAGCCGCTCCAGCAGATCATTGAGCCCAACGAGGGGGTCATGGGAAGCTCCAATCTGTAGCCGAGCCAGACAGTTGTGAGTCATCTGGGGACACACCACTGTGACAGGCTCGGAAGCCGGCGATGTCGGGTGGAGCCCTTGACCTTCTCCAGCAGCCACTGCAGGCGGCTGCAGGCGGCTGGAGGCAGCCCGGGCCACACACCTGCCCTGTGGCCCCAGGGCCTGGAGGGAGCCTCTGCTTGCTTCCCTCCGGGGATGGGAGCATGAGAGCAGGGTTCATCCTTCAGGAGGCAGCACTGGGAGGGCTCGGGGCCAAGCAAGGGTCACACTGCTGCAGAGCTCAGCAGGAAAGGGGAGGAAGAGCCAGCTTTTATTTCTGAGTGAGGCCAGGGGTCCTGCTGAAGGTTCTGTATTGAAGTTGATGAGCAATTGTTCTTCCCGAATCCTTGCCAAGTACTCGTGGGGCTCCTTGCCTCTGGCAGGCACCTGACCAGCCTCAGGAGGTAGTCAGCCGATGACAGTATTTGGTGTTTTCTCTGTGTCGAGGCTCCTCACCCTGGGGCAGCAGCAAGAAAGCATTGTCTTGTCAGGGCCAGCGGCAGCACCGTGCAGCTGGTGGGGCTGGTGGGGTCCGCACGGCCCGTCTGAGCATCCTCCTGGCTGGCCTCTCCGTCTGCTGCACTCCATCTGCCTTCTCCCTTGAACCTGTTCTGTGGCTTTAACACGTTTTCGTCATGAATCACGACCACATACTGTAGTCACTGAGGACTAATACCGAGGGCAGCCTGCTGAGGTCCGGCCATAACGCACCAGCAGGTGGGAGTAGTGTGAGGACCTCGGACCCTGGCCCGCCACCGAGCCGTGTGTCTGTCAGCCCTTCTGCACAGGCCCAAGGCCTGGGGAGAGCAGCGTACACAAGGGAGGAGTTAAGCTTGTTGCTGAAAAGAATCCACAAGGAAAGGGACCATTCATTTAATCTAGAAAAGGAAAGGAGCTCGAGGTCACCTGGAAAGCGTGTCTAGACCGTGTGTGGAGTGGCATCTGGTCTTCACTGGCCTGTGCTGAGCCAGGCCAGAAGCAGGGCTCGAGGGGCCGGGCTCACAGGCCAGTTCTCGCATCTGGTCCCCGTGTCTCATTTGCACACCGGAGATGAAACTCCCTGGCTTCCCGGCTGGCATCTCGAGTGTCCTGGTGCCTGTGTGGCCACAGGCTGTGAGCAGATGCACCGCCAGAGGACTGGGGAGGGCCCACGTCCCAGACTCCATGGGAAAAGTCTGGAGCAGGTAGATCCACACAGATCCATGCAGGCAAGGGTCGGGGCGTCGGGGGTAGAGGAGCTGCTGATGGCTCAGGTTTCCTTCCGGGTGATGGAAAGTTCTGGAACTGGATGGCAGTGATGGTTGCCCAGCATTGTGAATGTGCAGAATGTACTTTGTGATGACTCATTGTATCTCATATAGATTTAACTTGGATACTTAAAATCTTTGGAAGCAAAACAAGAAGACAGGGGGATGGGAGGGAGCTGATCGGTGTGTTTCCCACCAGGCAGGGACACGGGCTCCTGACCAGAGTGGAGGCACGAGGCCACCAGGGTGTGGGACAGCTGAGAGCCCTCTGGTTACAGCCCTGACCTCCCCGCCCCCCAGGACCTCAGATGCAGAAGACAGGTTATAAGGACAGTGCGGTGCCATTCTGGCAACACGAGGCCTGTGTAACTGACCTTCCCAGGAGTTTGGATCCCAGAATCCTGAGCTGATGTTGAGCTGTACAGTCAGCCTTCCAGGCATTTGTCCCACGTCAGATCCTCACTGATTCCAGTGGTTAAAATAAAGGGCCTGAAGCCTTGATGTGAGTCCTCACAGATGCTGGGCATTTGGTGTCAGGACCTCTGCCCACGTTGGTCCTTTGTTAGAGTGGCCGTGGGGACTCGGTGTGTAGCAGGCCACTCCACCGGGTACTCCGGGTGGGATAAACACACTGAGCATACCGTGGGTGCCTAATAAATGAACCAGAATGCTGGTGGCATTCTCCACCTGCCAGCTCCATCCCTCTTGGGCCTTCGTGTGCACAGGTGCTCTTCATGCCCCCCAGGGACAGTCCACTGTCACCCGCGCCCTTACTGCACAGCCATCTGCTAGCGGGGACGTGGCAGCGACCCCAGCCTCCAGCCCGGGTGCCGAGAGCCTCCCCAAGGTGATGGAGCTCTGGAGCATTCGGAGCCGGTCCTCACAGGCCATGGGCGGCTGAGTGCTGGCTGCTGCAGAGCCGGGCGGCCACCCGCATGCACCACGCGGAGCCCTGTCCCCGTGGCTCCGGGGTCTTCTGCTTTCTCTGCAGCCCTCTCCTCCCTCTTCTGCAGGTTCTGTGGGGACCCCGCTGCCAGGCGTCGAGGTACGCATTGTCTCAGAAAATCCGAAGAAGGAGGGCTGCCCCTATGTGCTCCACGCGGAAGGAAACGAAAAGGAGACGCAGGTGGGCCACTCTCTGAGCTCAGCGGGTAGTACGCAGGCATCACATGGCTGCCCAGCAGGCCAGCCACAGAGGGTGAGGGTCTCTGCTTTGGGGCTAGAGCCCCCACCACACAGGGACGGCCCCTCCTGGACAGCAAAGGTGCTGGCTGGTGGTGTTTCTGGGCACCATGGCCATGTGGACAGTGCTGGGCCCGACCTCCAGGGCTCTGCCCTGCTGCCCCCCAGGCTCCATCCATCAGGGATGCTGCGAGGCAGGTTGTGACAGCCTCAGGACAGCCCTTGTTAAAACAGGTTGTTGTAGGCGCCATCTGGTTAAAACTTGTGCAGGCGGGGCCCTGTCCCCACTCAGTGAACGCAGGGCAGGTGTGGCCAGCTCCAGGAGCCTCGCGAGGCCAGTGTGGGCGACTCACAGAGCCCCAAACATGAAGGTTGCCCCCGGCCGCTGGATTGAGTGGTGGCTCTCACCGTTACTCTGAGTCAACAAGGGTGAAGCAGGGGGAGAAGGGGAGATTATTGTCTTACTTCAGTGAAGATTCTAATAGTTACAATCTGCTAGTCGTAAGCAAATGGTAATCAGAAGACATTGGGGTTGGCGGGAGCTGGAATTTGGGTTTAAAAAGAGATTACTTTGTCTAAGCCGATGTGCAGGCTGGACGCCCACGTAAGGGATCTCTGTTACGAGGAGTGACCAGCTTCTCTCTCCCTGCAGCCCCCCCACTCTCCCGTTCAGCACCAGCCTCGCCTGTGGCCTCGGTGTCCGTGTCTCAAGTGGGGGGTCGAGGAGACTGCCAAGCACATGGGTGGAACGGGGTGGTCTTCAGTGTAATCCTACCGTAACATTCACAGTGACGTCAAGAAGGAGGTGTTCCATCTGCCCAAGACCCCTCACCTGGGCCGCGGGTGGAGGGCCAGCCCGTGGCACCTCGCCGGGCTCCCGAGGCCTTTGCTGCCCGGTTGTGACAGGCCTCCAGGCCCACCCTCGCTCCCTCCACGGTGTGCGGGCAGGCTCCTGGCTGCCCTCGGGCAGACGCCCGCCTCTCTCCAGGATAGCCTGGAGGCCCTGAACCGTAGCTGTTGCTTCCTGACCACCCTCTGCCGGGGCTTCTGCGGCTGGTCCGGGCCCTCAGCCTCAGCCGCTCCTCAAAGTCCTCTTCTGGCTCACGGCCTGCGCCCTCGGTCCTCCGCCTCCTCGTGGAGGTGCTCGCACCCAGGTCACCTGCGCTAGCATCCGGTGGTCCTGCCGTCCGTGCGGTGATGGGCTGCCTCCCCGTCTGGACACCCAGCCTGTTTGCTGGGTCGGGGATGGCCGGGGGGAGTTCGAGGGCCCCTGGTCCGTCACGGCGTGTGCGTCAGTCCCCAGCCAGCAGCACGGACAGCCTCCCCTGCCACTGCGTCCCCCGGGTGCCGTTCCCCTGACAATCTGGCCTCCAGGCGCACACGGGGCGCATCTCCCCCTGCAATTACAACGAAATCTACCTGCTTCGCAGCTGGGGTGCAGCCCACCCGCCTGACTGCTTCTCGTCCATCTTTACTGCCGTGGTCTGAAGAGCACTCAGCGCTGGAATGCACTTAAATAGGAACACCTGCAACCCCGGCCCTTGACAGACAGAAGGAAGTGTGTGCTTCCCCGGGTGGCCCTGCGGGTCGTGGGGACGGGAGGGATTGAGGGAGCCAGAGTCCCCCCCCCACAGGGCACGCCATGGGCACACCTCTGTCTAAACGTGAAGACGGGGGATTCAGTGCTCCTGCTGCATGTTCTAGAACATTCCCAGCTTGCTCAAGGAGTTGGTACAGAGCTGCCTCGATGACCACATGCAGGCCTCAGGGTCCCCGTGTGCAGCCTGTGACCGGGGAGGCTGCCCTCTCTCCCTTGGTCCTGCTGGCAGGAGCCGCCAGCCATGGCCTGAGTTACTGACCCCTCATCCGGACCATGGGACTCGGGCCTCCTGCATGCTACCCGCGAGGGCCGTGCTCACCTCGCATCTGCCTCCCTCTGTCCTTTCAGAGTGGGGACTCAGAGACACTTGTCACTGTCGCCCCTGGGACCTTGTGGAGGGAGAGTGGCCCATGGGCAGCTTCTGTCTGGCTCCCCGCCCCCCTCCACGAGAGCTGCTCACGACCATGTCTCTCCCGGGAGCCCATCGACACCGTGGCGTGTGCATGAACCCGGGCAGGCTCAGGCCATCCTGAAGGAAGCACGTTTGTGTTGTTTTCGTGACGTGTCACAGTGGAAATGAGCTAACCTGTTGTCTCGTTGGGGACCTCGGTCATTAATGAGGGGGAGGAGCCACGTGTGGTGAGGTGTAGAGGGACAACGTCTCCAAAGCCAGGGTCTACTCTGTTTACAGGACACGTTGCTTCAAGTGTGGACGTCCTCTTTGGAAACGGCCCTGCAAACCTCAGTCCTCTTGTGACACGTAAATTCTCAGGACAGCCCAGGCTGCTGAGGACTGACGGGCTTAACAGTCACAAGTCAGGATGGCTGAAGACGGTCTCTCAGTTTTTTTCAAGTTTTAGTTGGAAATAATTTCAAACTTCCAGAAAAATTGGAAAACTAAGAGTACGAGGAACAGCTGGCCGTCCACGTGCCCTGCCCCCACCCCTCCAAGTGCCAGTGGGTGTCCCTCACGCGGCCGGGGTGCGGGACGGCCTGTGTCACATCCCGGGGATCTCTCACCCACCACTGTGCGCGCCTCCTGTCTGTTGACCAAGCGACATCAGGTGTGCGGCCTTCACTCAGGTTCTGTCTGGGCTCAGGTGGCGCCTTTGCTCTTCACGGTGAGGGGACCCAGAGCTTGGCAGGACCACCTTAGGCCTTAGTGACAGGTGTGACGTCCACACTTCTCAGAGAGGGACAGGGACGCCTGAGCAGGAGCGTGCCGGGCGCTGATGGCGAGTGGGGAGCACAGAGGTGCCCAGGAAACCTTCCCTGAGAACCTCCCCTGGGCCAACTTGCCATGGGCACCTCGGCCTCGGGTTCTCCCATGCCTGCCTTCTTTCATCCAGCCTCACTCTGGGCCGGACACAGTGTCCGCTGGAGCCACCAAGGTCCAGAGACGGGTGTTGGCAGTGATGGTGCCCAGAGATGGTGCAGGGCAAGCTGTCCCCCAGGCCTGTGCAGCCTGGGAGCCCTTGGTGCTTCTCTGGCCAGAACCCAGCACCAGCAATCAGGAGTGAGTGGCTGGGGGGGCTCTGGGGGCTCTGCCCTGCAGAGGGGTGTCCCTGGGGAAGACAGGAGTGGACGGAGGGCTGGGCCCAGCGCTGCTTCCCAGATAGCGGGGAGAGCCCGCGTTTGCTCTCACAGGCCCAGAGCAGGAGGGGAGAGGAGCACAGACCTGTGTCTGCCAGCGATCATGGCGGCGGGGCAATGCCTGAGTCCATTAAAGGCCATGACAGCCCAGGAGGGTGGCTCATTTGTGCCAGGCTCTCATCACATCTGGCCGGGCACATGTGTGCACCCTGTAGGGCACAGTCTGGGATCCCACTGTTGGTCCTTGTGTGGGGAAACCGTCATGTCTCATCCATGTCCCCATCATGGGGTTGCCCTGGCTGTGGCTGGTTGGTGACGTGGCCAGCAGCCCGGGGGCACCCAACTGTCCCTGCCATGCACAGCTCTGCGCTCTGTCCGGCAGGACTCAGGGCGCTGGAAGCGCGGGCTCCCCTCTCTGCTACCTGGACAAGCCCCCCGCTCCACCTTCGCGGGTTCCTCTGGCTTCTGTCTCATCTCCCTGCTGGGCCACAGTGAATGCCACGTCTGCCTGCAGGACCCAGTGGCTTTGTTTGCCGTGGTGCATCTTGCATGTGCTGTGGCCGCCCACTGGCTTCGCCTTTAAACTCCATGAGCACCTCACACACTGTCCGTATCTGTTTATCTATTTTCCAAGTGTTCACTTTCCAGAGAGCCAGGCCCTCGCCAGCAGCACCGGGGTCCATCCGTAGACAAATGGCTTCACAGCTGAATGTAACCCGCTGGCCTTCACGTAGAAACATCTCTGGCTGAGGACGCAGAGATACCGCGTGTGCTATTTGGGCTGGAGCAGGGCAGCAGCAGCGAGCTCTGCTTCCCTTTATTTCCCCTTAAAAATTAATTATCTTGTGTTTATCCATATGCAAGCTGTCACTCTGGACAACAGCCTGCTGGCTTGCCTCTCCTCCCGATGGCCACCAGCATCTCCTGGGCTCCTCCCTGCATCTTCTCCCGTCCCTGCCTATCAGTGCCATCTGTCGCGGCTGTGTGCCACCAGCTGCTGCATGTGACCCGCGGCAGGGCGAGGACTGGAGGCGAGGACCATAGGGCCTGGACGTGCGCTGGTCCTGCCATGGGTGGGGAGCCCAACTGCCCCACGAAGGCACTCACCTCAGACAAACAGCCAACCGTCATCAGCCACGTGTCCCTTGTGTCTTGGGATGCAGCAGGTTACCCCCTCCCTAGCAAGGACCAGGCCCGAACGGGGAACCTTCACAAGGAAGAAGAAGGCCAGGGGCCCTGATGTGCCCCATGAACGTCTGCAAGCTCTTAGCTGCCCTGTGCCTCCCTGTTCCCGACAACCAGAGCCTGCTTCCAGATACCCTTGAAAGCATGCTCCTTCCTGCCATGGCCTCGTCCCTGTGTGAATGTCCAGATCCTTCTAGTCCAACCCATGTACTGAGGCCTGAGCAGTGGGCAGCCAGGAGGAGGCAGCCATTCATCAGAACACAGTGGGAGCCCACAGCCGAGGAGGGACCCAGGGGCCTTCAGGCTCAAGAGCTCTGCTATGGGTCCTGCCCCTCCACACCGGCCCCCTTGGCCCATAGCCCACCTGCCTGCCTTCCTGCACCCCCTTCCCCGACGCCTTCCTCCACGGAAGGTTGGAGCAGACCCCTTATCATGAACTTGGGCAGGTGTCGGGGGCTTTCCAGCAACACCTGCTGCTGATAAAGAAGACATTCAGGCTCCTTCCCATGAGGAAGCCTTCATTCTAGTGCTGGAGGTTCTCTAGCATGGCCTCTGGTTGGAGTAAA